CGACCTGGAAACCGATTCCATATCTCAGCGGCCCGCCTTCTCTGCGGCTGCCACCGATGACACGCCCGGCGCCGCGCGGCTCTTTAAGCCGGCCAGGTTCATTTCGGCTGGCCCCCGCGTGTCTACTGCCGCGGGGGGCGCGTTTTCACCGCCGACCACCGCCCCCTCTTCCGCGCTCGTCTCTTCGCCCTCCGACGGGGCTGCCCCCGAGTGCGCCTGATGTCATTCCTAACCTACGCGAGCATCGGCGGTTTCCCATGCAGCGCAACCCCACCCAAAGAGCAGCGGCGGCAAATGCACGGGCGCCAGGTTTGCGCACCTACGCACCGGGCCCTAAACGACGCCCTTCGCGCCGCCCTGGGATGGCAGCCCCGCCAGGGCGGGCCACCCCGTTTACACACGACGAGGCGCTGCTCGGACAATCGGGCGCGCACGTGTCGGCGGCCTGAACTCACCTGTCAGCGCCGATGCGAGTTAACATTACGGGCAAGACGCACGCGAGCCTTTCACCACACATACATTACCGAACGCAGGGAATAAGGGAACGGCCACGAAGCAAATCACTGAGCTCGCGGCATTACACAACTCTGCAACGAGACAATGGCTCGTATTTAATGAACCGAATATGATCGCAGCGACGGGTGATGAAACTCCACTCATCATCGTTTCGTTCACGTTTCATTATTTTTTTTTCCAATTGTAAGTACTCATGACGTCACTATGCTAAAAAATCATTTTATACAAAAAAATTTCGCGAGCAGTTGTGACAGTTTTGTCATTCGCACAGGTGCAATAATTTGCTATTCTAATCGACGTCCGAGTTCATTCTTGCAACAAAGAGAGACGCAGAACCGTCTTTTTTTTTTTTTGAAGACGCCGAAATTAAAGCGAGGTGTTCTGTGCACATTAATAGCCCTGCCTTTTTCTTTAATATATGCTGGCTTGGCCGATATTGAGGCTGAAAGTGTGCGGCGTTCCATTCTCGCTCATCACCGATAGGTTTCCGAGAAAGCAAGCTCGGTGACTCGTCCAGCAAGTGGAACTCGCGTATGCATTATTCATAACGTAAGGTCGATACAGGCAATGTGTATTCCGCAACCATTACATATATATGAATTATTGTTCTCGATGCCATCCCCAATCTTATTATAGAGCGCTTCACTTTCGCCCACATATGTGGGTCGCTAGGTGTGTTTGAGGGTATACGGTCACACAATTATATGTTACTTATACGCCGAGTCTACACGAATGGCTTGCTTCTTGAAAATGAAACCCCAAGTTCAACTACTTCGTCACTCGACCAGTATCTTACCCAAACGATCACAGAAAGGACAGGTGCACATTGCAATCAAAGGCGCAAAAGCGAAAGACAAAGTGGCGTGCCGGGTAGTCTTGGCAATCGTGTAGTTTCATAGGGGCCGTTACATCTGTCTCTGTTTGCAGCGCTGTTCGCGCCTTGCTGTAAACGAGTGACAAGCTGATGCTTTCACGGCTTTTGCCTTAGTTGGCTTTTGCTAAAAGGCCTTGCCAACAAATGCAAAAAAAGACACATCGACGCGCCTCCCGGGCCGTCGTCAATGTGACTTCTTTTTTGGTATACATGTCCTCTTAGCGGCACATGTGTCTTTCAATCGGCTTCTTCGAACTTTCCCGTGGACAGCTGCTCGAGAGATTGTTAAATGATAGACCCAATAAGAGGAGTGTGAAAGTGCTTATGACAAAATTCCTCATTTCCAGTTATTTTTAATTGATGTCCTTAAATGGAACAAGTGTTAGAATGTATAGGTTTCGGCAGTCTCGCGAAGTGGGTCGGACAGTGCTGGAATTCGTTCTCTTGTTTGGACGTGCGTAGACAGTTTGCACGAACGACGAGTGCAAATTCGCACGAACTTAGATAGAACACAAAGCCACGAACAGGCAAGGCAATAGTTATGCGAAAAGTTCGCTCAAATCAGCGCTCGTCTCGTCCGTCGTTCAATACCGTGATCAACCAGCTCAATTTCACGTAACTGTTTATACTGCGCGACCACGTATACAAGGCCTGTCATGCGCATCACGAACGCTAGGAGAAGAAAGCTCGAGAAGTTGGTTTACACATTCGCTTACCCGTACAACCCGGGCGGCAGGAATGAAAAATGATGGAATGGGGAAGAGGCGCATTGCCCCGCTCGCATAGTATATACGCGAACTATATACGCTCAAACGCGATCCGCTTATGTAAGATGAGTGTGAGCCATACTTCAACGGGGCAAAGGGCGATTCCTCTCCAGTTGCGAAAGACAGAGAGAGTCGGAAGGGCTGGGCGAGGCGTTGTGTATGTGCGCACGTGGCGTGGCTCGAAGCTGGAGACTGCCTCGATGGAGGAGTTTGCTGAGGCGCTTCCTGGGTTTGGCTATACGGAGCACCCGACTTCCTCACTGCGGGCCGCGCACCGCTGTACAAGAGGACGAGGCAGCCGGCGGGGGCGAACAACCACCGCGACCCCTGGGACCTCGTGCCGGGGAGTTGCAGACGGGGCATCATAACTGGCGCTCTCGGCTCCTCTCATCTCTCTGGTTGCTGACAAACGACAAAATTCTCGGCGCTGAAAAGAAATATTGCCACCCGTCGAGAGGCCCCGTGCGACCAACTCGCTGGGTTCAATCGAATGCGGGCCGTGTCGCTTGCCGATAAGATTGCAGCGGGCCCGACAGGACGACAAGACAAAGAGTCGAGTGTACTTTCTCCCCTCGCGCCACGACGCGTGTTAAGCGCGCGGCGGACGCTTTTGAAGAGCTCCGGCGAAGTGTTTCCGCGTGGCTCCGTGCTCTGGTGTTGCCACTCGGAGTTCGAGTGCGCTCACAGGCCCCCTTTTTTTGTTTGTTTGCGTAAACTTTACGCTTACGCAGAAATGCACGCTTTACAGTCGATAACGCTGATACCCTGACGTACTTCAGTGGCCGCGAGCAAACATTATAGCGGATGCTTTACATAATCAAGAACGTGAGAAAGTTTCACACAGGCTGCTGTGTGGAACCAGAGGAGTCTTCATCGAGAGACTTCAGCGAACAAAATAGTGAGTAACGAAAATGTCACACATATATCGGTGACAATGTGTACTGTCCGTTGCATAATAGCTGGTTTGAAGGAGCTGTTTCAGGAATCATAGCACACCGCCACGAAGCTGATACTTTCGCAATAGTTCTATTAACGCGCCAATCTATAGGGTTAAGTAGCGAAGATATAAATGAGTATCCGTATGCATAAATAAAACATTTTATGCTGTGCGGGATATTTCTTAAGAACGAATTACAGCTAAGTTTGGTGCTGGACGTAGATTATATGCCAAGGCGGCCAGGCTATCGTAAAGAACGATTTTGCGCAAACATATTCGGCGCCAGATCCGACGAGGATATAGATCAGCAGTGCATCATCCTTCCCTGTGCCATATTTGCCGTCATTGCCGCATTTTTGGACGGCTGTAGAAACCACAAAAATCGCGTCAATGATCAGGGTGCACTAGCTAAAACTTTCTGCTATTCCGTGACATAGTATTTAATGGGTCAATGATTCAGCTTCGCCCCAACTGTGTGTCCACTATCTGGCCTCAAAATGCAGGCGAATGGACGTCATTGTGCGGAAAGTCCGGCCGAGCGCGTGTTATTTTTTTCCCTGCTCTGGGGGCATCTCGCAAGCTCGGCCACAACATGCAGGTGAAAGGAATTCCGCCAGGCAAATTGCGATAATGGCGCAATTAACGCCTCGCGTAGTGCAAATATCACCGCCATCGCGCGTAGCTGGCAGGGCAACGGTAACGATTGCCATCTTCTTTAGTGATCGGGCGAGGAACGCCCGGGGTGGTCTCGCGTTGCATTATTACTGCTTCCTGCAGCCATTACTCAACGCCCGCTACGTGCTGTGACGGCAGCGGTCCTTGCAAGCACTGCGAATCGGTGGCGGTAATCAAAGGGGACCGTGTACCGACAGCCTCCGTGCCATCAATACCAGTTCTTGCCTTGGGCCGTTCGGAAATACATCACGAGAGATTGGTTTCCCTTTTATAGGGAAGTCCATTTCATTTTGAAGGTGTGGTAAAAAAAAAAAGAACACAGCACCAGCGCACGTGTTACGCTACAACTGTTCGTGAGAAAGTTTCAGCCAATTAAGGTTCTCAACATATTTCAGCGATGTTGGTTGGTCAAAACATGTACGCTAAGTGATGTTGATCACGAAAAAAAACCTCGCAAAGAAATATCGTTGTGTATTACACCGATAAATTGTCAACGCTCTACGCATGACTTACGCTGAACCTATACGTGACTTCTCATCGATTCGCACAACCTTCGTTTCAAAGGTGGCGAATCACTTTTGTTGCGTGAAATTTGGCGAAGAAAGAGCGCGCCAGCTGGACATGCGGCGACGGCATTTTTCAGTTTTTTTTTCATGCACACTTTTGTACATTTGAGAACAAAGTTTCGCAAGCTGGGGACAAATCTGAGCAATGTGACAGACTGAGCTTGCATCAAGAAACTCACCAGACAAGCACGCTTGTTGGGTGCGTTCCTGTATGCGGTCAGCTTTATTTTGAATATGAGAATCTTAGTGACCAGAAGCAATATACAATTTTTTTTTCTTTAATTCTGATTGATCTCTCCAGGATGATAGTATTTTGGCCGTCTTGGTATCCCTGGCCATACTAATATTATTTTTGACAGAAACTTATCATACGGTAAAAGTCATCCCTTGAATAATTTAATCATTTAAACAACGGCTTCGTTTGGTTTCACTCATGAAGAATGATAAAAAATATATGAAGTTAGCTGTTCAGTGTTTTGCAACTTAATCGCAACTTTGGTCACTGAATGTCATCCCTCATCGGACGCGGTTTAAATGGGCATCCTAAATCTTCGCAGTGATGAACTAACAACAGATGACATTACTACTCACAGGCATAATTTCCTCGGCTATCTGGTCAGTCACCGGAAAACCACGACTACACTGTCAACGGCAAACAGACTTACCGGCAGAACCAGCACCGGGGCCAGCGGAGTTTGTCTAGTCGCACCCGCGACCACACACTTCGGATGAACAACACGCGACGTGGAAGCGGATTAAAGTGGCACGCCTCCCGGTATCCACACGACGCCGGATGAGTACAACAGGCGAAGCGTCGGGAAACGCACGCGACGACGCTCAAAGTCAGGCGTCCGTCCCAACGGTGCGCTCACATGCTGCCTCCGCCGCCGAACACGGCCGTCGCGCGGTGAAGCCTTCTCCGCAGGGCACAGGGCGAACAGTACGAGCTCGGGGTCCCGACTCCTGTCTCGGCCACGCGCGTTCTGCCCGAAAGCCCACCTCCAACGCGCGCCAGGCGTTCCCCTCCGGCCGCTGCGAGGAGGACGGGCATAAACGCGAGAAAGGAGGCCGTGCAGAGAGAGAGAGGAACACGAGCACGCTGGCTCTTCTCGCCTTTTTCCTGTTTGAATAGGGGAGAGCGTAAGCGTTTCGAGAGAAAGGAGAAAAGCGAGCGCGGGATGGTACGCCGCCTGTACGCGGCTTCGGCAAACTCGGGGGGCCCCCACGAATCGACGACGGTGGGTGGGCAAGCGGCGCACCGGTTCATTTCAGGCGAGGGATGCGCTCCGGAGAGCCAAGGTTTGGCGAACAGAGCGGTGAGTTGGTAGTAAAATCAGTGCGACACAAACGAGGGTGTTCCGGAAGGTTTTATAATATGTAGTTGGAGAACACGAAGTAGGGATAATTACACTCGAGAACACTGAATAAGTGCCACTCGCTTCGATTGCGTCCCGATCATGCGGTTTTGTCTCCACTCGTCCTTCTTTGTGCCTGCTGGAGTGCATTTTGATTTATACTTCGTTTGTTCTTTTTATTGAAAATTTTCGCAGCCAAGATAGTGCTGTATCGCTTAAGTAACGAACATGAATAAACGTTTTAGTCGCGGAGCTTTTATTATCTTGGTGCTTAATGTGCCTTATAGAAAAATGTTAGTAGTTTTGCTTTCGACAGTGTCGTAATTGAAATGCATTCGTATTATAAAAAAATACGTGTTAGTAGATAACAGATTGATTTTTTAAAAATGTCTTGATGTTGAGCTTATGCACAGATCCATAAAGATGCATGCTCTAAATTCATCCGACTTAAATCTTTCCGGAACATCGATACGGCAGGATGCGCGCATGTTAAATTTTATGACCAGGTTTGGAGCCGCGCGACGCACACTTGTTGCGTAACGCTTGCTCCGCATGAGTTTACGGTAGAGGGCAAGGAAATACCGTTCGTCACACACAGACTGGTTCCTTGTTTTGTTTTTTTTTCTTTTATTTTAACGTCCCGAACGTAGAAAGTGTGCCCCAAATAGCGAGCATTCGCAAGAGAGATTAAGGCAAATTAAAAAATAGTAAACCACTCAAGCTCCATTCAGTGCTTCGCCTTATGGCGAGCTCTCAACGTGGGGCTGGCGCGAGCCTACAGACACCTCCAGTCATTGCATATATATCACCTTATGGAACCCCACCTTTGCGATGCCCGTGCGATGCTCTCACTATCTGTTCGCCTTCGTCTCTGCGCGCCCTTTTGAACGAAAATTGCACCTCAAGCACAGTACCTTGCTCATTTTTCGCACCCTTATTTTGCGTTTAAATCTTCGGTGACGTGCGCTCTTGGCGAGCTTTGACATGGTGAAAGAGCCACGGTTGTAAGCGTGCATTCGATACAACCTCACCTCTTTCACCAGGTGCCAAATCCCATGCAAGTCAAGGATCCTCTTGTGGACCGGCGTCCGGCTGCCTACCAGCGAATTGAACCAAATGTCAGTCTAACTTCCCGCGAAGCCTTCGCACGAAACATTGCCTCCTGCCGAAGCGTATTGCTGTGCGCCTCCGCTGCGTTGACAAGAGAACATGCCGAATTCAGTACTTCGACATATTCTCAGTCACTATCTGTCTCTCTCTTTCTGTGAATGTGTGAGTGCGTTTGAACATTTTTAGTTTCTTACATAGCGAGTTCGCGCCGCCTTTAAGTGGTCAAAAAAAAATAAAAAATAAACTCAATACCTTACGCGATCACTTCGTCATGCGAACACAAAATTTTCAGCGCGTCTTCATGTGTCTCCAAGTTCCCTATGGCGGAAAAAAGGCGTAAAAAGCACAGCTTGTTCGAGCTTATCGAGCATGTGATGGGAACTTCAGATAGCAATCGGTGTGCATACCTCACGACAAAAGCACCGTTCCTTCGCCTTAGAGCATCGATTTCGAAGTGCGATGCTTCGTTTTTTTCTTTTCACCTTTGTTGCATAAATCACAGAAATTACAGAGAGTGAGATTACAGGAAGCTGAAAGGGAACAGTCTTGTCATGGCATTGAGAAATATACTTTTGTAAAGAGTGCCCACTCGAGCCTTTTTACGGCCGTGCAAAGTAGAATCTGATTAACCGCTAGATGGCGTACCCATGATCGCTTCTAATCGTTAATCAACACATGTATATACCGTCTCAGGAGGACTCGAAACACCTATATCTCATCAAATTTCTTTTTCAAAGAAAAAATATTGATTTGAGCTATTCTTCATACCAGCTCTACATCGTGTGCTGCTGAGAACGTTTATAGCGTTACTAAAAATCAGCTAAGTGTGACCAGAAAGTGTTGTCTTTCTCCATTTGTTCTGCACAAAGGGTACACATTGATATGGTTTAGGTGTACTGTACATGTATTTCCTTTGTGAAAACATGGGTGTTTAGCCTAGTGGTAAAGGCACTCGCCTTTGGAGCATGACAGTATAAGTTCAAATCCAAGCATCGCAAAGAAAAAAAGTTGTTTTATTTATGCTGAAGACATAAGGTCTGACCAGCTGCTTGTGACGCTGCAAGTAGCGCAGTAGCTCGGCCGCAGGGTCCTACGAAAGTGCCCGCTCATTTAATACGCAAGTGCGTTTCTCTGTGGCCTTATAGTGCGAAAAACTTTAGAGCACGCTTGAGCTTCGCCTTCAAGACTAGAACGCGATAGCGTAATCGTTGCACATTGTCTTCTCATTGACTAGCCTGGTTTCGGTTTTCAGTGCATGCCTCAACCGTGCCACAAAGAAACGAGCGTCCGGGCGGGCAACATAGCCCATTTCATCGTTTCAATTTATCCTAAAGCGCCCGTACTGAAAGTGCAGTTGCGAAGTTCCCACGGCCACACGATTCTTCCTTTTGCGAATGGTCCACCAGGCGTTCGTATACGGCAGCCCGCGAACCTGCACAACAGCGTACTTTGTTCATTTTTTTGCTAATAAGGATGATTACACATGTTTGAGTGCTTTGTAATGGGTGAACCTTTAAAAGAGACGCTCGTTGCACGATTCACATGTTTGACACCTGGCGCGATCGTATACGCTTCTATCGAACAATACTGCATGTGGTAAAGGGGCCCTGAAACACTTTTTTTTAGTAAACATGGAATTAATTCACTGGAAAAGCGTATTGCCTCACAAATTCCACGCCACAAAAATTGTAAGCATCCGTCCAGTGCGAGCGGAGTTACAAAGATTTGTCACACGCTGCAATCGCATTCTCTCTTCTTTCGTCACGACGAAAGCGCTGGAAGTTGAGCAGGGAGGGATGGGAGGGGCAAACACAAAACGTCGCGCACGCCTCGTGATATTCAACACTTTTTTTCTTTGAATACGCGGCTTTTTCAGTGCGTGCGATCGCGCGCGCACGCGTGGACAAGTGACGGCCTCTCGCGGTGATCTCTGTAACAAACGAGCGCGCCATGTTCAAATCAGCCAATGGCTGATAGATGGGTAACTTACGTGCGATTTTTGAGCGTCTTTCGTCATTTGTCGAGGGAAGAGAAAGCAATTTACAGTTGGCTTTGATAATTTACTGTGAATTCCAGGCCGCATGCTGCGCTACAATATATGGCTTGCGTGTTGTTGGGAGCATCTACTACCAGCCGGCAGCGTTTTCTGATCATGCTCAAAAAGTGTTGCAGAGCTCCTTTATGGACTGATGGCTCCCACTACATGACATTCATATAGTATTTTTTTCAAAGCAGTTTGAAGCTATGACATCCTTTATCTGTAGTTAAAAACCTGCTTTAAAGCCTGGGTTTGTTTCTCACTCATACTGAAGATTTTTGTGATTGATTTCATTTCCACCTTTCTCGGTTTTACGCTCGTAACCAACGACGTAAACACCGACACAGAAGATTTTACGAAACTAGCTCTTTGACGCTGTCGCGTTAAAACATTTGAGTGCGGCGCTTCTGCCACACTATGTTAGCAGTGGCAAGAGCGAGAAGTGCGTTCATGAGGGGCCACGTTTCGTGCGGGGAACTTTGTACGTCTCAAGTTCCTAAATATTCTCGTATAGGCGATTTACTACTGCCAAGAGGCAACTCAGCCAGAGAACACTCACGAGGAAATTAGTTTTCAAGAAATTAAAGGTGGCTCTTTGAGACCTCTCTTTTTTTACCATATATCACAATCTCACAAGGAATCGCGTTAGATACAGTTAATGAGAAGGTCTGATGGAAAAATAGCTATAGAGCTGTCAACGACTAGTGGAAACATCTAGGTAAGTGCGTACGTGGTAAATCTAGAATTGGTACACAAAAAAAAAAAACAGCTAACTGCAGAGTGTCTATTAAAAATTCAGAACGCATTGACACGCACAAAACTATTTTATTGTAAGTGCGGTGATCACGTCGTTTTTAGTGAACACGCAAAAACAGGATAGAAAAATAGAGCGACATTAGACCGGACGGCTACACTGGGCTGGCAGAAGATGAACTGAAGAAAATGCGACATGATAAAGCACAAAGATCAAGATGAGATGAGTAAAACTAGTAGCATCATGCCCGAGAGGAAGTACAGTCGTGCTCAATCTGGAATGCAACGCGCTGGCGGTGGTTGAAGTAACCCTAAGCCTGAACGACACCGACAAACGTTAAATTCGTTTAGAAAGTACTGCTCACTGAGAGTTTTTCAACAGTTTTTTTTTTCTTCTAAGTAGGTACCACTTGGCAGTGTTGGCACCATTTTGAGCACAGACAACGTGTTGCAACTGATATTGAACCGACTGTGCATCTAAATTGACTTTTAAGAACAACCCGACCAAGCATCTAACGTCTAGTTACTCAAAAGCCGCTGTGTAGATGATAGTTACAGAGCACGCTAACGCAACGCTTCATAAAAGTGGAGACGCTTACGTTATTCCGGCGGCCAGAAGAGGAAAGATGTCTCGCCCCAACAGTGACGTAACTCGGCTTGCTCTCGCTTTCTATGCACGCCTATGTAAGAGAGACTATACGAGCTCGTTC